CTCACACTGCCCGGCATGCAGGACCCGGCTTTCCAGCGGCTTCCGTCTGGGATCGTTGGTGGACGAGCGGATGCCGGTGCCGCAGCTGTTCGCCAGAGTGTTCCTAGACGGGGGAAGGACCGAGTATGAGAGACGCTCCCACCGCCGCCCCGACCCCTGCTCAGATGTGGGAAAAGAATCCAGCAGTCCTGGCTCCCAGTGACCCCAGCTCTGACCCCCAGGCCCCACATCCCTCTCGTAGCCAGGACTAGAGCACAAGTCCTAACTCCCAGCCCCCCATGCCACAGGTGGGTGGGGGTGAGGTGGGGGGAACGACACCAGTTCTGCTTCCTGGCCCCCTTGTGCTCTAACCACTAGACCTCACTCCCTTCCCAGAGCTGGGGATAGAATCCTGGAGCCCTGCCTCCTGGAATGGCGTCAGAGCAGGACTCTAATGGGCTGGGCGGGGGACAGAGAGATGTGACCCCTTCTCCTTCCCGATAAAAAAAGCCAAAATTCACCGGTCGAAGAAGGACGCCAGGAGCCGTCGGAGCAGCACCTTGTGCCGCGTCCCTGCGCTGACGTGGCAGTTCATCAGCTGCGCCCGGGTGATGTACACGTTGGTACCTGGCAGGGGGGAAAGGCCCCATTATGGCCCAGCGCGTCCCTCGGGCCCCCACCAGGGGGCGCTGCTAAGGGACAGCCTCCATTCCCGCCTCCTCGCCCAGCCGGGGGGAGCCAAGGGACGGGAGCCCCAAGAGGGCAGCGACGGGGGCCTGGGCCGGGGGCTGCAAACGCTGGGGCCTGGGCAGTTATTAAACACTGGGGCCCGCTGCTGTGCCAAATTCCCCCTGGTCCCCATCCAGGGTCCCCTCTCGGATGCCCCATGGACCCTCCCCTCCTCCAACCAGGATCGGGATCTCCTGCTGTGCTGGGCACCACCCAGACCCTGCGCCCCCAACGGAGCCACAGAGCCCCCCCAGCTGAGCTCTGCTCTGCCAGGTGCCATGCCAGCTCCCCCCGGGGAGTTCTGGGTCCCCCCGCCCTCATTCAGGGCCCTGCAGGGAGTTGCCCCCAGCTGAGCTCTGCTCTGCCAGGTGCCATGCCAGCTCCCCCCGGGGAGTTCTGGGTCCCCCCGCCCTCATTCAGGGCCCTGCACGGAGTTTCCTTAGCAGCCGACTTTGCACTGGGGGCCCTTAAACCTGACCTCTGACCCTTCCCAACCTCGCGGGGGTTTGTTCAGGAGCCGCACGGCAGCAGCTGGCCT